GGGGTCCCCAAAATGGTGCTGGGGGACCTGGTCACGCCTCAGGGGTCCCCAAAATGGTGCTGGGGGTTCCAGTCATGGCTCTGGGGTCCCCAAAGGGCTGCTGGGGGTCCCCGTCGTGGCTCTGGGGTCCCCACAGTGATACTGGGAGCTCAGGGGTCTCCCAAAATGGTGCTGGGGGTCCTGCTACCACCTCTGGAGTCCCCCACAGAGGTGCTGGGGGTCCCAGTCGTGGCTCTGGGGTCCCCCAAAGTGGCCCCAGGGGTGCCGGTCACGTCTCAGGGGTCCCTACAGCCGCACAAGGGCTCCCAGGGCAGCGCCGGTGCCCGGTACCGATGCTGATGCCCGGTGCCGGTGCCCGGTTGCCGGTACCGAGCCGCAGTGCCGGTGCCCGGTGCGGGTGCCGATGTCAGTGCCCGGTGCCCGGTGCTGCTGCCCGGTAGCCGGTTCCCGGTGCGGAGCCGCAGCGGCGGTGCCGGTGGTGATGCTGAGCCCGGTACCCGGTGCCGGTGGTGATGCTGATCCCGGTGCCCGGTGCCGGTTCCGGTGGCGGTGCGGAGCCGCAGTGGCGGTGCCGGTGCGGGGATTGGCTGGCCCGGGGCCACCTGGCTCCTCCCCAGCCCCATGCGGCTATAACGGCCCCGGGCGGCGCCGGGCCGGCTCCCGCAGCGCCGCCAGCCCCGCAGCCGCAGGCATGGCCCAGCCCCGCAGGTGAGCCCCGGGAACCCCCCCTCTGCCGCCCCCGGCCCGGGGGGACAGGGGGTACGGGGGCACCGCCACCCCAGCACCCCCCGCTCTGGGGGAGCCCGGGGGGCATCTCCTGGGCAGCACCTGGGGGGTCCCTGGGGCATCTCCGGGCAGAAATGGGGGGTCCTGGGGGCGTCCCTCAGCAGCTCTGGGGGGGCATTGTCCTGGCAGAGCTGGGGGGTCCATGGGGCATCTCCCGGGCAGCACTTGAGGGGTTCCTGAGGCATCTCCTGGGCAGCACTTGGGGGGTCCCTGGGGCATCTCCTGGCAGAAATGGGGGGTCCTGGGGGCATCTCCCAGCAGCTCTGGGGGGGCATCTCCTGGGCAGAGCTGGGGGGTCCTGGGGGCATCTCCCGGGCAGCACTTGAGGGGTCCCTGAGGCATCTCCCAGCAGCTCTGGGGGGCATCTCCCAGGCAGCACCTGGGGGGTCCTAGGGACATCTCCCAGCAGCTCTGGGGGGCATCGTCCTGGCAGAGCTGGGGGGGGTCCCTGGCGCATCTCCTGGCATCAACTGGGGGGCATCACCTGGCTGCAGCACTGGGGAGTTCTGGGGGGGCATGTCCCAGCAGCTGTGGGGAGTCCTGGGGGGGCATCCCACAGCAGCACCGAGGGGTCCCAGATGGGCATCGTCCCGGCAGAGCTGGGGGGTCCTGGGGGCATCTCCCACCAGTTCCTGGGGGCATCTCCAGGCAGCCCTGAGGGGTCCCAGGACATCTCCTGGCAGCTCTGGGGGGGTTGTTGGGGTCACCTCTGGGATGCACCCCCTGGTGTGTGGCAGTCTCCCCCCCCAGTTCCACCCTGTACCCCAATTCCGGGCTGCCCCGCTGCTCCCCACCTGGTTGGGGGGGGTCCCTGGGCACCCTCTGTGCCCCCCTGGGGGCCGCAGCATCTCCCCACCTTGGCCCATCACAGGCAGGGACAGGGCCAGGACACGGGTGACACCAGGGTGGGGACGGGGGGGGCCGCAGCCCCCTGCCCTCTCTGGGGTGACACCAACCTGGGGACGGGGACCACGGGGGCTGTAGGGCCCTACAGGAGACCGGGCTCCCCAGGAAGGGGCTGGTGCGGGTGCTGGGGGGTCG